TCCGGTTTACTATTCCTGCAATGAAAAATTGAAGAGGAATGTTACTGCAGTCAGAATAAAAAAGATCCTTTCAAGAGCTGTCTTGAAATACAATGCTGTGTGTGATAGGATAATGTCTATATGCCTACCATGAAGACCAATTAATACCACTATTATTTAAATTTATGCACCAACCACAAAAACCAGTGATGAAGAAATTGAAAAAGTCTACCAACTTCTTCAACCTGAAATGCACCAGCAAGCAATCAAACTGTATTGATAATTACTGGTGATTGGAATGTGAAAGTTGGAAACACAGAGGAAGTACCAGTGGTTGGAAAATATGACCATGGTGATAAAAATAATGCTGAAGAGAGTAGGACAGAATTTTGCAAGGTCAAAGACAAATGCAATGCAAATACTTGTTTGTTTGTTGTTGTTGTTTTTAAGCATCACAAACGATGATGATATACATGGACCTCACCAGATGGAATACACATGAATCAATATCTGTGGGAAGAGACCATGCAGAAGCTTATTATCATTGTTAAAACAAGGCCAAGAGCCAACTGTGGAACAGACAATCAATTACTCATATGCAAGTTCAGGCTGAAGCTGAAGAAAATTAAAACAAGTGCATGCAATCAAAAATACAACGTTGAGTATATTCCACCTGAATTTAAAGACTGTTTCAAGAGCAGATTTGACTCATTAGACACTAATGAGTCCTCTTTAAAGTGTTTCAGAGCCAAGATGATGTCACTTTGAGGTCTAAGGTGCACTTGACCCAAACCATAGCATTTTCAATAGCCTCATATGAATGTGAAAACTGGACAATGGATAAGGGATACTGTAGAAGAATTGATGCATTTGAGCTATGGCATTGGAGAAGAATATTAAAGATATCATGGACTTCCAGAAGAACAAAAAGTTTGTCTTGGAAGAAGTGTAGCCAGAATGGATCTTAGAAATGAGAATGGTGAGACTTCACATCTCATTCTTTGGACATACTGTTAGGAGGGACCAGTCCCTGGAAAAGTACATCAGGCTTGGTAAAGTTGAAGGTCATTGAAAAAGAGGAGGACCACCCTAAACAAGATGGACGGACACAGTGACAGTAACAATGGGCTCAAACCTAATGATTGTGAGGATGACAGGTTTAGTTCTGTTGTGCATAAGGTCACTATAAATTGGAACTGACTTGATGGCACCTAACATTAACAAGAAGCATGTCACACACTGTGCATGCATCATGGATATCTGTTTCAAATTTATAAACATGGATCAGTTGTAATAATCATAAAGTATTATCACCTTCAAAATTCATTTTGCCAACCAGTCACTGTGAGCTAGCTGAGGACAGTAGAGTCATGTCAGAGATGCAGTGATTTACACAGAAACCAGAGCTGATTCAGTAAGGAGGAAAAAAGGCAGACAGGAGAAGACCTTTGAAACTGACAAAATGACTTTTGTTTCACTAGAGTGTGGAAAAACGAAGGACTTCTATAACTTTGGCTCATTCACTTTGGACAAGTCAGTCTACCAGTCTACCTCTCTAAGTCTCAGTCTCATCCTTTATGTTATGTGGGTGTAGGACCAAATTGGAAAACAGAAAATGAATTAAGAATTGCAGTGTAAATGAAGAATATTGACCAGACTGTGGCCTGCCAGAGAAGGAATCAATCGTAGAAGAAATATAATCAGAATGTTCCTAAGGAAAAAATGAGTATGGCAAGACTTCAATTCACTTTGGACATGTTAACAAGACCAATTTCTAAAGAAGGACAGCATGTTTGGTAAAGGAGAGGGTCGGTGAAAATGAGAGTAACCTTCCAAGAGATGGATTGACACATGGTGACAACAAAAGATGCAAACATACCAGTGATCATGAATATGCCATAGGACCAAGCAGGATTTTGTTCTGTTACATAGAAGGTCAAGGAGCTCTGGTAGCATAGTGGTTACAAGTCAGGATGCTAACCTCAATGTCAGTAGTTCAAAACTACCAGCTGTTGCACAGAAGAAAGATAAGGCTTTCTGCTCCCATAAAGATTTAGAGCCTCAGAAACTCTACGCAGGGTTGCTGTGAGTTGGAACTGACTCTATGACACACCACCACCACCACCATCTTGACTCAACGTTAGCTAACTGTAACAATAGTACTGAATTATGCCAAAGACTTCTTCTAGCTGTAACCTAACCTTTTTTGATGGAAGAGGAGAATGCAATCTTAATTGATAATACACGCACATATACACATACACACAACACACAGAAATACATCAACATATAGACCCTGAGCATAAAGTAACAATTTCAAAAGGAAAATGCAAAACCTTGGTGACAATTACTGTCACCATTTGTATTCATACAGGATTTCTGTGAGTTTATGTTGATTAGGTTCTTTGTACTGTGTAACTTGCTACCTTCTAGTATCACAGCATCTTCTCAGGAAATGGACTTCACAGTACATTGATGTTGTAAACATGTGACAAGTTAGAGCAACAGAGAAGCAGCTGATGTCTGGCAGATCAAGCTTTTCCACTTGTCAATTGTCAGCTCTTTCAGGAATGTATTCACGACCCCAGGGAAGGTTTCTACTTTCTTCCATGAAAATTGAGTGCATTAGCAAAACTTAACAGCTTTCCAACTAAATGCAATGTCTGCTAATATTCCAATTACAATGATGTCAGCTGAGGTTGCTATTTCTAGAATATGCATTACATGAAATTTCACTGGAAGTTTGAAATGTCCTGATACTTTTTATTTCCTAGAAAATATCTGTATATTATGTCTACTATTTGAAAGAACCTTAAGTAATTAGGACTTGAAACTTGCTACCGTTTCCATATAGTGTTGTTAAGTGTCCTTGAGTCAGTTCTGACTCATAGCGACCCTCTAAAGGGTTTCCAAGGAGCAGCTTGTGAGCAGTCCAGTGCTTATCCTATAGCATCACAGTATTGTAGGGTAGATTAAATCATGTGCATCCCACCCAACGTTGTCAAATTAATTCTGACTCATAGCGAGCCTATATGACAGAGTAGAAATTTTCAGTAGGATTTCTGAGACTGTTGGAGTCCTGCTGTGGTGTTGTAGAATAAGCACTAGACTGCTAACTACCAAGTCGGTGGTTCAAACTCACCAGGTGTTCCTTGGAAACCCTATACAGGGTTGCGGAGTTGGAACCAACTTGACAGCACTTAACAACAACAAACATTACAGAAGCAGACGGCCTCAGCTTTCCCCCACAGAGTAGTTGGTGGGTTTGAACTGGCGCTATTTAGTTTAGCAGCTCAGTGCTTAGCGCACTACCCCACCAGGGTCTGTCTTCATGTGTATGTTTAACTCTAAAACAAAACAGAACTGTAAATGCCAGAGAAAGATATGGGTGTTTTAGAAGGAATTTCAGAGGAGAAAGTATACTGAGCTATAGGAACAGGGAGATGATCTGTGGAAAGTTGTCAAGTACATGGCATTGAAGTCTATTTGCATTTTACATCAAAACTTGAGGTGATGGAAAGGGTTTCTTGGTGGAGGAAATAGAACTAGATGCACGACAGTGGCACTCAGTATTTGGGGTGTATCTGAAGAAGATCATGGAGTCCCTGAATGGTGTAAATGACTAATTCATTTGCCTAGGTTAAAATTTTCAATTCATCCCAAGGGACCATGCAAAAAGCCCTTGGTGATCCACTTCTAAAAAAAAAAAAAGAAAGAAAAAAGAAAATCAATCATGGAAAACTCTATGGAGCACAGTTCTGCTGTGGCACACATGAGGTCACCATGACTCAGAAGCAGCTCCATGAAACTTTTCATCTCTTTTTAACTGAGAAGAACAAAGAGTGAACTTGGATGGTAGTGCTACCTCCAGGCAAAGGAATCACTGGATAAAGATTAGACAGGCAGATGAGATCCTTGACTGCGCAGAAAACTGCACTTTATTCGACAGACAGAGTGTCGTAAGGGGCATTTGAGCAGTTATCTAATAATTTCCTTGTATTCACTCCTCCCTCTTCGAAGGGACAAAAGTGAAATTTAACTCAGTAGTTTAAAAGGCATCCTAATTTCTCACAGAAGAAGGGACCACAATCTCAAGAAACAGTTCTCTACATCCCAAATGAACTGGAAAAGATTTACACTTTTCATGTTTGGAATTCTGCAAGGGAAGATTTCCTTTTTATTTCTCTAATATTTATTGAGTGCTGGAAGAGAAGCGGCCCCATTCAGATGTCAGCAGGAAAGCTGTTGCACATATGGGAGCCCGGTCCTTGGGGAGAAAGAGACCTGGCCATACCAGCTATATTTTGTGGCTTCCAAGTTTCCTGTTTCAGGGCCTCTGGACCCCAGCACTAGTCACTGGTCCCTTGTACAAAGCTCCTGGCCCTCCCCACATTATTCCATCTGGGCATAGTCAGCGACTCTACATTCTGAACATGCAAATGCAAATTTGGCATGATGCTCCCTTCATATGCGAATGAATGTGTGTACATGTTTCTAAAATACGTGTAACTATACACACAGTATACAAAATGAAGATGGCACATACCATCATTTTGTTGTACACACAAAATGTTTTCCTAAATAATATGTGAGTTCTTTGAAAGCAGGCTCATGTGTTTTCTTTGTCTGCTATACTGTAATAAGCATAAACCCCAATATTTAGTTAGTATTTATCAATTGATTTAAGCTAAACCTTTCAGTCTCCAGAATATACTGCATTTCCTTCTGGGATTAAGGGGACATCTGGCTAATTTACTTGGTATAATAGGACAAAAATATGGCTCCAATTTTCCTTAGTTCTATAAAAGGCATGATAGTTTATTTCTATAAAAGCTCCTGAGATAAAGTAACTGTTTGCAAAGTATCCATACTCTGTGCTCAGTGTACATGTGTGTGTGAACTTGGCCAGCTGTCAGCTACAAAATAGAGAAATCATGTGCTAAATATTAACTACAGGTGGTGTTAGCAAATGGGTACAGTTCATCAAAAGCATGGCTTTTATATGTTACACTGACACTTACCTCAATAAAGAAGATGCTGGCTGCTGAAGTCGGATGGTGATACATGTAGACTGTCACAAGAATAGCTGCTGCGATAATGAGGACCAGGATGAGAATTCCAACGATGAGGCCAGCATGAAGACTTCCTCCTTTCTTCTCAGCTGCACTGTCATCTGTGGAAGCTGAAAGAATCACATGCCTGTCAGGACGTTCATGTATGCCCTCTTAAAGTTGTGTTTTTAATAACGCACCATTGGCTATGTTTTTACTTCCTTATAACTTTCGTTTTCCATAACATCAATTTTAGACACTAGGTGCTCTTTCACATGAGTCATAAAAAGTCCATACCATTAATGATTAACAGTTCATTGATAAAAGCTATTAATTTTGTATTGGGCTAGAAATTAATAGCTTTTATTTTCTAAACACACTGTGACTTATCTAACAATTTAATTAGCTACACCACAAATTTAACTCTGATCTTCTCATTAAACCACTAAAGTTACCTACAGAAAAATTACTGAGTACTTCTTGGAGGTTCTTTGTATTTTCTTTTGGAAATGTTAATTGAACAGGATCAGGCATATTTCAGTGGGCTATGCAGGCATTTTCAGAATGGATATAAGCTCAAAGGACAGATTTCAAAATCTGAACTTCTCTTTAAAAGAGTAACAGAGGGATACTAAATGACCCTCGAACAGTATTATCATGATCTAAAGCTAGCACACAGCGTACTGAGGTATTATTCCACCCAGCCACAGGCCAAAATCATTTTCTTCAACTTTTACTGAGGTTCTTTCCACTGTCTGTAACACATTGTCATAGGGTTAGGAAAGGGAGGAATTTAATTTTTAAAGTAACAGCTATAATACCCAAAGTCAATCAACCAAATAAAACAAATCTCTGAAGTCTCCTCTTGCTCTAAAATTCTATAATCTTTGATGATTACTGAGGCATTTTGAGGAAACCTTTCTAAATTATGTTCAGGAGGAAACTACAATTTAGGGCATATTCTGACTGGTATTTTTGAATTACTGGAATACTCCTTCAGGTTTATAGAGGTTCTAGAACCGTTGCTCTCAATCCTTTTATTGACAATTTTTCTCTTCTTTTTACTTTTTGCCACTGCATTTTAAAGTGTTTTCTTCTGTCTATTCAATAATCATTTTCCAAATTTACCATGTGTCAGACATATTTCTAAGTGAACCAAATCAAAACTCTAAGAGGTGTTGTAACTGTTAGATTACATAACAATGTGATGTTGAATCAGTTCCGATTCACAACAGAATGAAACACTAATGGGTATTGTGCCATCCTCACAACTGTTGCTAACACTGTGGCAGTCCATCCCATTGGTGGTCTTCCTCTTTTTTGCTGATTCTCCATTTTATCAAGCATACTATCCTTCTCCAAGGACTGGTCCCTCCAATTAACATATCCGAAACATAGAAAGGAAGGCTTGCCATCCTGGCTTCTAAGGAGTACTTCTTCCAACACAGATATGTTTGTTCTTCTGGCTGTCCATGATACTTTCAATGTTCTTTTCCAACACCATAATTCAAATGCACCAATTCTTCTAAAGTCTTCCTTATTAATTGCCCAACTTTCACATGTTGTTGTTTTTAGGTGCCATCAAGTTGGTACCAACTCATAGTGACCTTATGCACAGCAGAACAAAAGACTGCCTGATCCTGGGCCAACCTCACTATCATTGTCACACTTGAGTCCATCGATGCTGCCACTTGGCCAATCCATCTCATTGGGGATCTTCCTCTTTTTTTCTCTGACCCTCCACCTATCCTTCTCCAGTGACTAGTCCCTCCTGACAATATGTCTGATTTATGAGAGATGAAGTTTGGCCATCTTGGCCTCCAAGGAGCACTCTGGCTGCACTTCTTGAAATCCCATAGGTTAGGTCAGGTACACTTTAGTCCTCAAACTTATTATCTTTGCTTTTGGATGTGTTAAAGAGGTCTTGTGCAACAAATGTGCCTAATGCAATACTTCCTTTGATTTCTTGACTGCTGTTTTCATGAGTATTGATTGTAGATCCACACAAAATGAAGTCTTTGACATTTCATTTTTGAAAACTTCCAATTTTCCTAGATTTATACTTTGTACATTCCATGTTCCAATTATTAATGTTTACAGTGGTTTTTCCTCTTTATGAGTTGTCCCATCAGAAAATAAGGTCCTAAAACTTTTACTCCATTCACATCATCATGGTCAACTCTATTTTAAGAACACAGATCTTCCCCAGTCATGTGTTTTAAGTGCCTTCCAAACTTGAGGGGCTCATCTTCCAGCACTACATCTGACAACGTTCTGTTGCTATTCATAAAGCCTTCGGTGTCTAAACTTTCAGAAGTAGTCCCCCTCTCATTCTTTCTAGTCTGTCTTAGTCTGAAAGCTCACTAAAACCTGTCCACCTATGGGTGTTCCTGCTGAGAGTTAAAATACCCATGGCATAGCTGTCAGCATCACAGCAAAATGCAAGTCCACTGCAGTAAGACAAACTGACAGACAACGGTGGACTCTAAGGTGTAGGATGTACTATTACTATCATTATAACATAGATGAGGAAAGAGAGGGAAATGAAGGAATGTGCTAATGTTACACACTATGGAGGGAACTGGGGTTTAAACACAAGTAGCTTGTATCTAGATTCTGTTCTCTGAATTTCTGATTAATACCCTGTCAGTTAACACTGAACTTTAAGCAGTGCTGTGTACTCTGATTTCATGTTGTGAGTTCTTCTAGTAAATAATTCTAAAACTAAGTTGGTAACTTCATGGAAAGAAAAATCAATATTACAAATAGTTAAAGAATTGACTGTGTGCCTCCAAGAGGGTAAATGTGGTTGTGTCAAGCCTTATTCATTTCCCTGTGATTTAGGCATGTAATAAAGAAGGAGCTCTGGTAGCGTAGTGGTTACGAATCGGGCTGTGAACCGCAAGGTCAGCAGTTCAAAACTACCAGTCGTCTGTGGGAGAAAGATGAGGCTTTCTGCTCCCATAAACATTTACAGCCTCGGAAACCCTGTACAGGGTCGCTACGTGTTGGAACCGATACACGGCACTTAACAACAACAATAAGTGATTGGTGGGAGGGAGGAGAAAAAAAGGTAAGATGTAAAAGCTGTTTAAAATGTGTTACAATTACTTGGAACAAGTTTTCCTTTAAATATTAACTAGGAGTCCTGGTAGTGCTGTAGGATAAGCACTGGATTGCTAACCACAAGGTAGGCAGTTCAAATCCACCAGCTTCTCTATGGGAGAAAAGCAAAGTTATTGCTTCATCTGTCTGGGCTTCTATTAGTTCATTTCTGCAATGTGGACCATCACAGTAACGATCGTTGTGGTGATTACATAATTTATATGTGGACAGTTAATTACGATGGTGATTGTGTGCCACCAAGTCAATTCTCATTCATAGAGACCTTGCATTAGGTTTCTGAGGCTGCACATTTTTATGGAAGCAGAAAGCCTCATCTTTACACAGCAGAACAACTGGTAGGTTAGAACTACTGACTTTGCGGTTAGCAGCCCAGTTTGTAATCCACAAGAGTTCCGGCTACATAATCACTTAATAATGGCCTTAGACTTTCATTGGTGTTGCAGCTGCTTTTGTGCTGCTGTTGTTGGTGTGGGAGACAGACTGGGGCAAATAACACTGTCAGATTCCTTATATCCTATAAACTATGTTTTTGCCAATAGTATTTGCTATTTTTAAAGTGTGGCTTCATTTTGAAATATGCTTGTACAATGGTATCTTGTATACATGGTCATTTTCTTCCTTTTTGAAAGATCAAGACATATTAATTGGAAAATAGGATGAATTTAAAATGTTGATTTGGAGAAAACACTGCAAACATAGTTACTTTAGTCAAGACGGGAAACCATGACGTCTTCTTCCAATCCCATGTATTATTTATTTCATCCATCCATCCATCCATCCATCCATCCATCCACACATCTGGCTCTATTTCTGGGTCTGTTGTTGTTAGATGCTATATTGTGTCAGTTCCAATGCATAGTGAACCTCAGCATAAAGGAATGAAACCTTGCTCTGTCCTATGCAATCCTCCCAATTGCTGGTATGCTGGAGCCCATTGCTGCTGCCACTGTGTCAGTCCATCTCGTTTGGGTCTTCCTCTTTTGTTGTTGATCATCCACTTTATCAAGCATAATATCTGTCTCCAGGGACTGGACCCTCTTGATAACATGTATGAAGTATGAGAGATGAAATCTCACCAGGCTGGCTTCTAAGGAGCTTTCTGGCTGTACTTCTTCCAATACAGATTTGTTGGTTCTTTTGGTAGTCCATGGTATTTTCAATATTCTTTTCCAACACCATAACTCACATGCTTCAATTCTTCTACAGTCGTCCTTATTCATTGTCCAAATTTCACGGGCATTTGAGGCTACTGAAAATACCATAGGTTGGGACAGGTGCTCCTAAGTCATCAAACAGATTGTCTTTGCTGTTTAAAGAGGTCTTGTGCAGCAGATTTGCCTAGAACAACACACCATTTGATTTCTAGAGTGCTGCTTCTATCAGTGGTGATTGTGGATCCACGTAAAATGAAGTCTTTGATAACTTCAATTTTTTTTCTCCATATATCATGACACTATTTGTTGATCCTGTTGTGGGGACTTTTGTTTTATTTACATTGAAGTGTAATCCATACTGAAGACTAGTTTGATCTTCATCAGTAGGTATTGTAAATCCTCTTTACTTTCAGCAAGCAAGATATGCACATGCGCACATCACAGGTTGTTGAGTCTTCCTCCAATCCTAATGCTATGTTTTTCTTCATAAAATCTGGTTTCTCGAATTATTTGCTTAGCATACAGATTGAATAAATATGGTGGAAGAACACAGACCTGGAGCACACCTCTCCTGATTTAAAACCATTCAGCATCCGTGTTCAATTTGAATGACTGCCTCTTAGTCTATGTACAAGTTCATCATGAGCATAATTCAGTGTTCTGGAATACCCATTCTTCACAATATTATACATACAGTTGAAAGCCTCTGTATAGTCAACAAAGCACAAGTAAACATCCTTTTGGTAGCTTCTGCTTTCAGTCATGATCCATCTGATGTCAGCAGTGGTATACCTGGTTCTATGTTATCTTTTGAATCCAGGTTGAATTTCTGGCAGGTTCCAGCCAATATA